AAAGGCCTGTAAAAAAAAAAAAAATGACAATGTGAGCGAATGGAAAAAAGAACAGGAAACTGAAGCTACAATTCGCACAGGCTCACCAAAATCAGGCAAACACAATTTTAAGAGTTCATTTCATGGCCTCTTAAATGATCAGGAGACTTGTAAAATGAGTTACAGCATCCCATAAATCCATATTAACAACGTACTTAGTCACCTAATTAAAACAACTAGACGCATGAGATTGAAGTGTTAAAAAGGCTGCAAAATAAAATAAAAAGGGCGATGTGAACATACGGGAACGAGAACAGGAAACTGAGGCTGCAATTCACACAGGCTCACTAAACCTGGACAATAGAAGACGGGAAAAACGTTGCCTGCTTTGAGGAGTCTCAATTTCTGCTGCAACTTCGGGATACTAGGGTCAGAATTTGCAGACTGGTTTCTTGAACATGACTGAGTTCACTTTACAGAAATGGCCTCTACAGTCACCGGATCTCAATTCAATAGAGCACCTTTGGGATGTGGTGAAATGGGAGATTCACATTATGGATGTGCAATACATGACTATGATTATACCTTATTTTACATCAAGAAAAAATAGAAGATTAGAAAAACGTTGCCTGGTCTGAGGAGTCTCGAACTCTGCTGCGACTTCCAACCCAAGCTCATTCTGAAAACGTAGTCCTGTGGACGTTTCTGGAGACCGCGAAATACGTCCCGGGAGGTACATATGGCTGCATATCATTTTTTTTTAAGCGAACGCTACGGGGCGGTGTGACGTCGTTCCCTTTTACGCTTGCCGGCTGACCGCTTACCTCCGTGTGGAGGGCTTTCCCGCCGCAATCAGTTTGTTCGGTCAGCTCATCGTGTGCGTCGGTGGGCTTTTAGATGCAGAGAGGAGGAGTTCGCAAAGGCGTCCGGGTTCAAGTCCGGGGAAGAGCGGTTCCAGAAATCAGGTAAGACAAAAACAGAATCCAAAAAATAAAGCGAACGAGTTCATAACAGGGTGAGAATGTGGTGAAATCCGAAAAAGTGGTTAAAAAAAAAAAAAAAAAAAAAACAGACGAGGGCTTTTTTTTTTCTAGACGGCTTTTCTAACTTGTTGCTCGGGTTTAGGGAAGTAAGCGGGCGGGCGGGTCAATTGGTAAAACTGGTTGGGTTCACGGAAGGAGGAGGGTGGGTCAGCTGATTGGCCGCTTGCGCAGTCAATCATTCGGTCAGTCAGACAGCGGCCTCTGGTGGGTTGACGCGAGAACAGCGCGGGCGTGAACGGCACTCGCGAGAGACGTTCGAGATACGAAAAAGCGCACACAACGGCCTCTTGCGGATTCGCGAAAACAAAAACTGCACAAATACGTACCTGCCGGGACGTTTTTCGCGGTCTCCAGAAACATCCGCTGGACTACGTTTTCAGAATGAGCCTGGGCTGCCGACATCAGGATGCTAGGGTCAGAATGTGCCGACTGGTTTCTTGAACATGACAGTGAGTTCACTGTACTCAAATGGCCTCCACATCACCAGATCTCAATCCAATAGAGCACCTTTGGGATTTGGTGTAACGGGAGATTTACATCATGGATGTGCAATACATGACTATGATTATACCTTATGTTAAATCAAGAAAAACGTTGGTCGTATCTGCTAGATTGGTTCACAACACAATTTTAGGAGTTCATTTCATGGCCACTTAAATGATCAGGAGACTTGTAAAATGAATTACAGCATCCCATAAATCCATATTATCAACGTACTTAGTCACCTAATTAAAATGACTAGACGCATTCCTGCACTTTGAGATTGAAGTGTTATAAAGGCCTGTAAAAAAATGACGATGTGAACGAACGTCTTATAGAGTCTAACAGTCCCCTTGTGTGTCGGCGTGCAATGAATCCCATGCAATTTCACGAGCCGCAAACACTTTGTAACCCTTCTCTCATCTCTGCTGTCTACGCCACTCAAATGAAAATCTGTCAAGGCTGGTGATTTGTGCTAACTAGCTATCGATTGCACCAGCGAAACGCGCGTTTACAGCTCCGGGGGTTGAATGCGAGGAAGAGAGGAGAGAGAGAGAGAGAAAAAAAAAGGGGGGTAGAAGGAGACTGCAAAATGAGGAGAGAAGTGCACAGTCGGTGGGGGGAAAAGAAAGGATGAAAATGCTAAGAAATACAATGTTTTGCATTTGGTTCAAGACAGATGCGCGACAAATCCATTGGGCTGTGTTGTGGATGCGTTTGCTACAGAAAAATGAGCACCATGGGATGGGGACGGTGCACTTGACAACACTGAATGTTAAACAATGGACCTTGACTTAAGGTTTGCCTCCTCTGAAAGTCCCCCTTGCGCACCCTCCCACCTGCAGTTAGCCCAAACAAAGGGCACATAATGCACACTGGGGGCGAACTATTAACACGTGTGAAAAGCGCACTCCCGGCTGTGGAGATTCAATTATGCGTGTCCGTCCCGCTGCCTTTTCAGTAAAGACAATTACCGTTTCATACACTGATTAAACCAAAGGACAAGTGCCAAGCGAAGGACACACACACACACACACACACACATCAAATATATGAGCTCACGTTTGACATAATTACGCTGCTTCATGTAAATGAGCGAGAAATTATTGTTATTAGCCGTAACAGGTCTTTCAAGAGATCTGATTTAAGAAATGATTATAAAATAAAATCTTCCATCATATTCAGATAACTTATATGAAGAAAAGGTTTATTAAATAATAGTAATAATAATGATATGAAGAAGATTGATGTCGACTATTGTTATTATTTTTATCAATAATAAACAAATTATGCAAAATTATATTATATTATTAATATATTAAATAACAATCTTCAGGTTTCAAAAATAAATTAAAATGTATAGGTGAATGTTTTTTTGTAAACAAAAGAAGTGTATATTTTATTTAAGGAACTATAATATTAAAGCTTTAAAATATATAATATATAATACTATTTTATCCATCAAAGTGTTTGCCAAAATAGTAACCTACAAGCAGCTATTCTAATAAACTAAGACATTTGACGTAATAATTTATTAATTATAATGATTATGAAAATAATAAGAAGAAGAAAAAGAAGAATTGTTGTTATTATTGTTTTTATTATTTCCCAGCTACAGTATTACCTACATTAGTTGTTCTAATATTTAGGTTTCAAAAATGCATTACAATTAATTTATTAAATAACCCAAGACGTTTGATGTAATAATTTATTATTTTTATTATTCATAATAAAATAATACTAACAAGAAGAAGAATTGTTATTATTCTTCTTCTTATTATTATTACGCAGCTACAGCCTACATTAGTTGTTCTAATATTTAGATTTCAAAACTGCATTAAAATGTAAATGCATTAATAATTAATTGATTAATTAACTCATTTTGTAAACAAAAACATCCACATATTTTATATATGGCAATAAAATACTGAATCTGAAAGTTTTTGTAGAAATGGTGATCATAACAAAAACAGAAGACAGCTGAGAGCGTAATATAATATTCATAATAATAATAACAATATTATTATTCATAATAAAATAATAATACTAACAACAAGAAGAAAAATAATTGTTGTTGTTATTATTATTATTAATAATAATAGTATTACTACTACACAGCTACAATCTACATTAATTCTAATATTTAGGTTTCAAAAATACATTAAATATAAACACGTTTTATTATTAATTGATTAATTAACTTATTTTGTAAGCAAAAGATCCACATTTTTTATATATGGCATTACAATTCTGAATATTCAAATACATCTGAAAATGTCAGTGTTTGTAGAAATGGTGATCATACTAAAAAACTCAAGACAGCTGAGAGATTAATATAGTAATAATAATAATAACAACAACAACAACAATAATAACAAAAATTCTTTTTCTTCTACTTATTATTATTATTATTATTACAAAGCTACAACTTACATTAGTCATTCTAATATTTAGGTTTCGAAAAAACATTAAAATGTCAATGCATTTTGTTTAATTATTAATTGATTCATTAATTTGATTTTGTAAACAAAAGATCCACATATTTAAAGTATGGAATTACAGTACTGATCCTTTAAATGCATCTGAAAGTGGTTGTACAAATGCTGATTATACTTAAAATAAAGGACAGCTGAGAGATGAATATAATAATAATAATGATAATAATAATAATAATAATAATAATAATAATAATAATAATAATAAATATTGTACTTATTATGCAAGAAATAAAAGTTAACCATATCAAGATGCCAGAATAATATGGTAAATGAAGAGTGTGTGAAGATAAATATCCACATGAAATATTGTTAGATCTTGTTCTGCCTCCATCATTCATTTGCTGTTAGTGATTTGTGAAATGTTTATTCTCCCTCAAAGCGATGTTATATGATACATTACATCAAGTACCTGTCATCTGTTCTTTCAGTAAATTTAGCAATATTTATTTTGAAACAGCCTCTAACATTATTGCCAACATAAATCCTACTATCTGAAAATGAATAAAGAACTGTGTGTCATTCCCTTCTAATAATATTGTAACAGTATCATTGCTATTTCTTAAAGTGTCACAATGTAAAAGAGAGCGTCCTTTGTGTGTATGCCTACATGAGTTTATGACTGTCCATGCGCGCAAAACAGAGAAAGTGAAAACAATTTAAGTTACATTTTAAAATATAATATAATATAAAATGATATAATATGAAATAATACAATATAATATAATATAAAATAATATAATATAAAATATTATAATATAATATAATATAAAATAATATAATATAATATAATATAACATAATATAAAATAATATAATATAAAATAATATAATTTAATATATTATAATATAATATAATATAATATAATATAATATAATATAATATAATATAATATAATATAATATAATTAATATAATATAATATAACATAATATAAAATAATATAATATAATACTATAAAATATGCATTGCTTTTATTTGGTAGAACAAAAAATAACATTTACCTTCTTTGATGGTTGCTTGGGCTTTATTTTTCTCCCACGTAGACTTCTCTTCCTCTGAATCCTCGAGCAGACACTTGTCACTGGGCACATACCAAGTGGCATGTTGCTCTGCCATGAGTGTGTCAAGATCAATGGTGCCCACAGAGCTCTTCTCCGCATCTGGACCACAGCTGGCAAGCTCTCCGTCTCCAAGTTCACTGCTTTTTTTGTTATTATTCACAGCTAAAGGCTGGTCTTCTGAAATGCTGAACTGCTGGCGTTGAAGCTGAATCTGAGCCTGCAGTATTTCTAGCGGGTGAATTTCATCTTGGCCAGAGGTGCTGGAGGGTGTGCGGACTTGCTCCATGCCTGGTGTACCCGGATGGCCTGCTCCACCAAAGCCATCCGATGTTGAGGTAGTTTGGTTGGAGAGGCCTTGCCCTTTCTGCCCACTCATTAGTCCATTGGGCATTTTGGGCGAGCCTAACAAAGGGCTGCAGCCAGGCTTCACAGAGGACTGTGCATCTGAGCTGGATGAAACTTCATCTTCATTGCTGTAATGTGTGACCACCGCATCATCTGTGAAATCCATGCGGGGCGAACAGACCTCAGACTTGGATGCGCTCTGGATGCCACTATCAAGAGATGACATGAGGTCAGATTGATCCCCCAGCAGCAGGTCGCCCCCTTTTCCCCATGATGGAGAGGTGTGGGGCTTCTCGTGAGGTGTGCCTGTACTTCTCTCTGCTGAGGACACCTGCTGGCTGGGACTCACAACAGGGTTACTGTTTTCAGAGGGGAAAAATATCCCAGGGCTCACATGGCCACTGTCTCTTTTTCTCCTCCCTCTCCCTCTCCCACTCCCTGTTGCTGCCTTCCCCTCACTGCAAGGGGTAGTGTCCATGTTGAAATTCGGGGAGAGGGCGCTGGCTTCCCCCTGCACCGTCTGATTTTGACTCAGTGGCTTAGCGTTGCTATTTCCAGCAGGAGGCATTTGCCCATTTTGGGGGGCAGTAAGGCTTGGGAAATATTCTGTCCCAGTATTCCCAGTGCCATTAACCGCACTGTTATTCAGGTCTTGTTCTGTCTGACTCAGCTTTCGTTTCCCCTCTGCCTGAGTCTTCTTGTTGAATGTCACATTGAGGTTAGGGGCCCCCAGGCTGGCAATCATGTTCTGACAGGCAGTAGAGAGGGCTGCCAGGCAGCTCTGTCCAAAAACATTGTCCTTGCCATTCGTTTTGCTAAAATTCCCTAAAGACAGTCCCCCAAGTTTGCTGACTGAGGAACGCTGGCTAGTGGGAAAGTCTGATTGGCATGTAAAGCTCCCCGGTGAGGTGTTCACCCCTTGAGAGTTACCATGAGAGGCTCCCTGTCGATTAGAGCCTCCGTATTGAAACTGGGACGGACCACCCATGGGTGGTCCTGGAAAGTCATTTGAGCGTCTTTCTGATGGCGTGTTGGGCAATCCAACACCTGCACTGGGAGACTGCATCTGCGAGAGGCTTCCCATGCCACTGTTGAATTGTGAGTGTATGTTAGGCGACAGTAAAGGCTGCACGTGGCCCTCTCCTGGGACTCTCATAGACTCCTGCATGCCCATTCCACTCACACCAGCTCTGAACATCATTCCAGGACCATTTTGCTGGATGTCTCGATCCCCCATCTCACCACTTGAACCCATGCGATGACCTAGCATTTCCCCCGGTGGATGTGGCCCAGGAAACCACCCGCTCTCCATAGTCATGTGTGGACTCCGTCCATCAAAGTTCACCATCCTCCCACCATTTTCTCTCTCAAAACTTGACTGAGGCATGCCTCCCACTGGGCCCCCTGGTCCCAGGGGCCCTTGAGAAACATCATTGTGGTGACCCAGCTGCTGTAGACTGGGTTGTCTCATCCTCTGCTGCTGGCTCCGAGACGCCATCTGCTTGATCATCATTGCTGCATTTTGCTGCTGCTGCATCGATTGTTGCTCAGAGCCTGTTAGCTGCAGCGATGGGCCTGTCGAGAAGCCATCCGTCACAGGAGGGGTGAACTCTCCAGGCAGGCCAGGGTAGGCTGCTGGAGAGAGATTATTCTCCATAGCGCTGTTCCAACTGCCGCAGCTCTCCCTGCCATGAGTGGCATTGGGGAAATCAAACCTGGGCCTCTTACCCATATTTAAATAAGGAGAATCAAAGTGTTGCAACCTCTGGTTGGGAGGCTGCTGAGGAGGGGGAGGCTGCTGCTGCATGTTGAAGATGGGGTCACCATAACTATGTATCCGTCTGTTCTCTGGTCTGTGAATAGGGTATTCAAACTGATTATGTTGGCCAGGCATCATGACGCCACCCTCCTGCATGCCGACATTAGCAGAAGCTGTCTCTGATAGTGGGGGTTGTGGGAGAGATGGTGGGCAAGTGTTCTGTCGTCCAATCAAGCCTGGCTGCTGCTGTTGCATGAGAGGATGCCTGGCACCAGGTTCTATCCCCACTGGTATTTTGCGTCCACCCCCAAAACGTTCAAAGAACACACTGTGCTGGGCTGACGGCTGCTGCTGCTGAGGAGGGGCATGGGGGTGCTCTTTAGCGATGCCCTGCATTCCAGGAGCGCGAGACAACCCTGTGTTTCCAGGAAAATTGGACCCTGGTACCTGGCGCCCTGTCCCAAAATGAGAAAGCTGAGAATCAGATTCAGAGGGGGAGTACACAGGCACGTCAAAATGTCTGGATGAGGGCTCGTTAGGAAAGCTATAGTCCAGTCCTTCGACAGCGGCTGGCGGCGGCATTCGCCTTGGCTCAAGATTGTGACTTTCTGATGAAGAGGATGAGGAAGACAGGCCATGGAAGGAGGCGGCACGATTAGGTGACTGGTCCAAGGGGAGACACGGGGCTGGAACAGGGTGATTTCCACTGGGTGGTCCATGGTGCTGAAAATCCGACATAGAGCTTGTCCTTTGCTGCTGCTGAGAGAAGCCACCATCTGCTGACTGTCCTTCAGAGAGCGAGTCAAAACCCTCTGTGAACCCTTGCTGGAGTCCCATACTGCTGTTGTAACCCATCACCCTTCCACTGTGTAAACAAGAGGATCCTGGTTCAGGTCCAAAGTTTCCCCCAAAGTGTTGATGTGGATGTGTCTGATGTCCGTGTGAATGATTATGAGGCTGTTGAGGGTTAAAAAATCCATGCATGGAGGGTTGCTGTTGGAGATTCCCTGTATGCAGTTCTGAATGTCCCCGTTGAAATCCACCATACTGTTCTCCTCTACTCATGTTAATGTTCATCTCAATCACAGGAGTTTCATTAAGTGGACCCATACCAGGCTCCGCTGTATTCTGCGAGCCTCCAGTATGAAAACCTGGGCTCTTGTAATGCGAGTTCATGCTCACTTTTGGCTTGTTGAAGTTTTTCTCTGTGTGGCCAAAATTTCTGTTATTAATCTGTGGCCCAAACTGTTCCAGCTCAAACATACTTCCCACGATCAATCCCACATGACAGCCAGCTCGCCTGGCTCCACTGCAGAGTCTGCTGCCTCTTTTATTTTTTGACTTTGGCAAACTCAAGTAGCATCAACAAAAAGACGTAAAAAACATGGATGAAATTCAAAGGTGATATCGCCATCAAAAAATAATTAATAATAAATTTTTAGTTACTGTTAAAGTCTGTGATATTCTAAATGAATCTGATATTTTAAGACTAGTTAGATGCTTCACATAAACTAAAAAGTTTGCGTTCTAGTTTATAATCAGTTCCATGTTTTTTCAGTTTTTCTTAGAGGTACTAAATTAAATTAAATGTTCGTTTTTATTTTTATTTTACTAAGTAAAAATGTGCACATTAAAAAAGCTCAACCAAACGATAAAAATCTTCCTTACCACAAAAAATACCCTCAACTGAGAATATGCTATAACATATATAGAAAAGTTAATATAAAACACGTTCCATCACATTATTCTCCAGAGATTATTATTCCACTTTACTGTCAAATGTCCAGAGGTAAACGTTTCTTTCTGTTTAAGAATGCGTTGAGAACGCGCATCACAACACTATCCAGCGTTCCACAAACATATCCACGAACCCAGCCTATTTTTGGTATCCACTTTCTCTTAGAAACGGATTCTTTCAAACTCAATAAGTTGAAAATAAATAGTTCCCTCGGGCTGCACTGCACAAGTGATGAAGCCGAGGAAAAAGATGGGGAAAACAGTCCAGTGTAGACCCCGAGTGCTCGTCTTTGTGCGCCCGTCTCCGGAGCTCCGAGCGATAGGAAGCACATGCGTTATCCAAAGCCCGCCACCATAGAGCTGCTGCTGGCCAACACAGTCCCATCGGTTCTTCTCATATTCCGCGCAAACGAAAAGCTTGACTGCAAATTAAATTACAGCCAGCGCTTACAAACTGAGCAAGTCTCTTCCAATAGCACCAGTTTTCGCGTTTAGAAACGATTGCCATATAGATCACATATTGATGTCTGAGACGCACAGCACTGCGCGTAAAGACCGCAAGCACCAGCAACAAGTTTTGCATTTCAGCAGGGTCCTCCGCTGCAGACTGCAGCCAATGGCACACATGCCGAGGGAGGGACGATCTGTTAAGGTGGTCCAGGATTTGTCCGTTAGCTTTACAAGAAAGGAATTTCACGTGCTTAAAAAATATTATACATATTTTTTGTTTTTTTTATATAAATCCTTTCAGTGCCACCTTTTTTAACAGACAATAATGACAAGTGGCACCATGCATTTACTGCAATAGCAGTTTGTTTTGAAAAGTAAACAGACTTAGAGAAAACGCATTTGACAGTACACATTTTGAAAATGAACATTTTTATCCATTTCTCAGTGATTATGAGTATTATATATTGGTGCATTTAAACAAAACAGATTTATTAAACAGATATATTTATTAAAATAATATTTTTGTTACAGAACAAGTTTAAAAATGGAAATATAATGCATTTAAATGCATGCAAAATATTGCAAAAATATTACAAACTACAACATTTCAACAAAATTGCATATATATATGTATATATATATATATATATATATATAATTTTTTTTAATCTTGATTCTTGCTATTTTAGAAAAATGTAATATTTTTGTATTGTATATATACATTTTGAACCATTATTCTAAGTTATTTTATTAGATTAGCTACAGATTTAGATTCAGTACTGACCAATCTAATGTATATGCACAAACATAATATTGTAAAGCTTCCGAAAGTAAATATTCATTTTAATGAGAGATTTGTGGGCGGTGTACTCAAATTTGCTGAGCACTATCCAGGTCTTGCAAAAAGTCTTGTTTTGTTTAAAAAAGTATTTAAAGTGTCATTGTTATTTCTTTTCTTCTCCCTTATGCAAATGTTTATGCATATGCATATTTAGTTAATGCACACCAACATTTCAGTCTCGTTACTCAATCAGTACATTTTACAGATTTTAACTGCCTAAACTGCATGTTTCACATTAAATTTTAACGGCATGCCTACATTTTATATCTATAAAACACAGTCGCCAAAACGTGCCGCCAATGTGTTTGTTGCGCGTTTTCACAATCCAAATCTTAAACAGCTCCGTGAGTGGTTTGGCATGCTTTGACACTTTGACTTTTCGAAAAACACCCAGATGCGAACAGAAGGCTGTCCTGCATGAAAAAAAAAAGTTTTTCTGAAGACAGCCTTAGCAGCCCGTCCCTATGCAAATGCTAAACAAAAGCGCAAAGGCGCCGCGTAATTACCACCCGGAGTTTGCATTGTTGGCGCACTTCAAACAGCGAATTAACATTTTCATTCAGATTAATTGATCAATTACCATAATTGTGTTTACGTTTGAAATGATTCCGATTTAGTTTGCTGCCAGACAAAAACACTATCTATCTATCTATCTATCTATCTATCTATCTATCTATCTATCTATCTATCTATCTATCAAATCTGAAACAGAAAAAATGTGCAGCATCAAAATGCGAGGGCTATAAAGTTAACCCCCATTACAACATTACTTTACACTCACAGTAATAATGGATGATGTGTAGCCAACAGATACTGTCACGTCTGTGCGTAAAAAATGCTTTTAATTTCCATAATTGTTTATAAATTGCAGTCATTTGATTTACCCTAATATAGTAAGAAATAAAGAAGAACCACATGACTGCTAACGATTTAGATCAACCAGTAGCCTATTGTATTTAATATACATCACCAATTAAATCGTTAAATCTGGTGTCTGTTCAGAAAACACTTTCGTCCTCTCGCGTTTATGCACCAATAAATCACCCGATGCATGTCTGATCTCTCTTTTTTTTTACCAAATGTAGGTGAACACGAGCAGCATCACTTTCCCCTTAACGCAAACTAAAACACAGTTTCTTTATAAAAATGGGTCTAATAATTAATTAAGGGAAACAATTTGCCGACGTAAGCGTGTCAATGTAGTCTACTACTACAAACATTTTTATTAATCTTCCCAAAGGACTTAAATTACACAGTAAATGAATCTTGTAAGAGATTATAATTAACAAGGGTTAAACTGCAAATCAAAACATAGCACAATGAAGGCTAACAATAATACTACACCTAAATGAATAACCATATGTCTTCCATTTGCAACAAGCATTTGTTATTCAACCCTAAGGACACGAAATACTCAAAGTAAATAAATGAAGATTTAAATGACTTCTAACCCAAACACAAATATTAAATCGTAATGTCGTCGGAGCACAGAAACAAACACTGACTCTTCTGAAGTAAGACAATTGTTCTGCTGTGAGGCGTTTTGGAAAAGCCTAAGCAAACCATTTCATCGTGAAGAGGCTTTCTCTGGGGGAAATATCTGAAAAAGACACAGTGCCATCTAGTGATGTGTACAATTCACATGACAGTGTGTGTCTGATTGAAAAAAGGCTGCTACAACCCAACGCGTAATCCGAAATACATTCTGTAAGTGAATAATACTGCACTGTAAAATTATACGATCAAGTAGACCTGACAGGATTTTTTTAGGTCATCGTATCTTATTAAACTTAGTTACTCATGTTCTAACTTAATCTTAAAAGTTAGGCAAACTGTTTTAAATCAGTTTATCATAAGTTCAATGGACTCATAAGATTGATTTGATTCAGCTTAAAAAAATTTAAGGCCGCCAGTATTTTTTAAGTGTGATATAGACTACTTTTAAGGCATTTCATCCATCCATACCATTTAACCTCTGTAGGATATTGTGAGGATTGAGGTAATAAAACAGTCATAACTATACTGTTTCTGATAGATAAACATACGTGTAAAAATGTCTGAAATTAATTTCAGCGTGGTGAGATTAGTCTTTAAAAAGTGAATGAAAATTTGCAATCTCACTTCAGCTTTGTCGATAGAGCGAGATTATTTTCCAATAAATCATTGAATAATAATGCTTACTACTGCTGTTGATTAGAAATACAGCTGGTTATATAACAGAACATAGAGATTATATTAAATATAGATTATATACATTGCAATATTTAATTCTTCTATGATATATATTGCGATATTGAGAATAGTCTATTTGGGATTTATTGATAATTTGCAATACATTGGGATGATTTTGTACGAGAGGGCATCTACATGAAATATAACAAACCCATCTCAAGCATTGAGAAATGCAGCAACATACTGTAAAAATGACATATACAGTGCTTTATAATGTTCTGGAGCAAGTCTAGCGATATTTAGATACACAAATTTAAAAATTAAATAATAATAGTCTTCATCATATATGTCATATATATATATATATATATATATATATATATATATATATATATATATATATATATATATATATATATATATATATATATATATATATATATGCAATTAATCTTCCTTAAAGTTGGAAGTGTACTTTGCAATTGAAATATGGAAAACAGAATGAATGTTTTAAAAAAAGAAATCACCACAAATGCATTCAGTGTCTGGAGAACTTGGATTCGAGGTTGCTGTTTTGTCCCAAAATTTAATCAGTGCCAAATGACAAGGCAGTCAAAGGGAATGTTACAGGCTGTTGAGGAAAATAAAGAGGAAGGCAGGAGGGGGGAGGGGTGTGCAAGAGAATGATGAAGTCAGAAACACTGGAACACTCTCTCTTTTTTTTTCTTCACAGTTGACTGCAAGGAATGTAGCAAAATATAGAAAGCGCCGAAAGAGTATGACAACAGTGAAGAAGGGTTTGGAAATGCAAGGAAATAAGATTGATATAGAATAAAATTGAATGCAATTGAATAGAATAGAATAGAATAGAATAGAATAGAATAGAATAGAATAGAATGCAATGGAAAAGAATAGAATAGAATAGAATGGAATTAATAGAATATAATAGAATGGGAAAGAATAGGATATTTCGGGTTGTTGCTAGAAGGTATACAGCTGTGGCTGTAAGTAAATGAGAATTATTTATATTATTTATTAAATTACCCATTAATTGTATTTTATTAACATCTCCCCCTACACCAACCCTGAACCCAATCATCAGAGTAATGTAGAAACAGTAATTATACAGAGTATTATTATTCATTAAATTACCTATAAAATTGTATTTCAACCCACCCCTCAGTCTAATGTAAAATCAGCAATTATACTGAGTATTATCATAATATTTATTAAATTACCCATAAAATTGTGTTTTAACCAACCCCTACCCTAAACCCAACCCTCACAGTTATGTAAAACAGTAATTATGCCTAGTATTATTAATAATATTTAATAATAAAATTGTGTTTTAACCCACCCCTACCCTAAACAAAACCCTCACAGTAATGTAAAACAGTAATTATGCCTAGTATTATTAATAATATTTATTAAATTACCCATAAAATTGTGTTTTAGACCATTCCTACCCTAAACCCAACCCTCACAGTAAAGTAAAACAGTAATTAAACCTAGTATTATTCATAATATTTAATAAATTACCCATAAAATTGTTTTAACCCACCCTTACTCTAAACCCAACCCTCACAGCAGTGTAAAACAGTAGTTATACCAAGTATTATTCAAAATATTTATTAAATTACCCATAAAATCGTGTTTTAATACCCTAAACCCAACCCTCACGTAATGTAAAAATATTAATTAATGTTGTAAAAATTATGCTATATTGATGTTCGCAGCTAGACTTTACCCATATTTATGTGAATATGAACAATAATTCTGAAGGGAATATGGATTGACATGTTTAAATCACATATTAGATTTGTTTTGTAGAATATGAATCTTATAGATTGAAAGTGTGCAGTTATTTTTGAATTATTTGGTCTGTCGATTCCTTGTAGATGTTCATGTAATTATTTTGAATTGATGAAAGGGATAGATCACTCAAAAAATGGAAATTCTGCCTTTGTTTACTCCAAACCTGTTTGAGTTTCTTTCCTCTGTTGAACACAAAAGAAGATATTTTGAAGAATGTTTATTAAAAAGGTAGCCATTGACTTTTATCATATTTTTTTTTTCTTAAAATGCTTAAAATGGCTAACGATTTTCAACGTTTTTCAAAATATCTTCTAC